TTCCCAGTGATGTAATTAATGAGAATTCTTGTTTATTTGAAAAACACCCTAACGAAATACACATGCTTGTAGGAGCAGATTATGCCGGAAAACTCTTTACAGGGGAAATAATACACGTAACGGAGAGTTTAGTAGCGATGAATACACACCTTGGTTGGACAATATTAGGGAGAACGAAGGTAAAGGGAAAAAATTTTAATGAAGTTCTTTTATCACTACACATTAGTGACAGAAAAATTTGTGACTTGTGGTCTCTTGATTCTATCGGAATAACTAACTGAACCAGCTCTTTCGCAAACAAAACAAGAAATACAAAAGGCTACAGAAAATTATTTTATCCGTACTTTAGAAAGAGATGACGCTGGAAGATATCAGGTATCACTGCCATGGCTTCAAATTCATCCTGAGTTGCCGGATAATAGAATCCTTGCAGAAAAGCGTCTGAAGTCTTGCGTGTGAAAACCCTTCAGACTAAGAATTCCTTAGAAGCCTACGAAACTGTTTTAAAGGATTGGGTAGAAGAGGGAATAATTGAACCTATCGATATTTCGGAGGCAGAAAAGATCAAAGGGCATTATCTGCCACATAGAGCAGTGTTTCGTTTTCGGGAAAATTCGACTACCAAATTCGACCAGTGTTCGACGCATCTGCAAAGGAGAAAAATTCGGTATCTCTGAACGACTGCCTGGAAAAGGGTCCTAATTATCTTGAATTGATCCCCAAAATTTTGACAAAATTTCGAGAGGGAAAGTATGGAGTAATTTCGGATATAAAAAGAGCATTTCTTCAGATAGGTGTGAACCCAGCGGATCGAGATTTTCTCCGCTTCCTATGGTGGGAGAAAGGACAGCCTGAAAAACTGACTATATATCGGCACCGAAGGGTTGTATTCGGCGTAAACGACAGCCCCTTTTTACTCGCTGCCACAATTAACTACCATTTGGAAAATGTACCAAAACATCATCAGGAAATAGCTTCAAAGCTAAAGAAAGCCATGTATGTGGATAACTGCGTAGCGAGCGTGGAATCAATTGAAGAATTAAAACTCATTTATCAAAGGATCTAGAGAAATAATGGCTACTGCAAAATTTGACCTAAGAGGATTGGAAACATAATAGACTTAAAAATGAAACTTCAATTCTAAACCTTTCTGATAAAGATTATGAAGATGTTGTGTCAGTATTGGGATTGAAATGGGACTTGTTTGACGATACTTTGTCTTGTCACGTAAAATATGAAGAAAACCCTGTATTGAGCAAAAGATCTGTTCTTTCCGAATTGAGTAAAATCTTTGACCCAATTGGGTTTACTAGTCCAGTTACTCTCATGCCTAAACTGATTCTGCAAGAGTGCTGGAAACAGAAAATTAACTGGGATACTAATCTGCCGAATGATCTAGCAAGGAAATTTTTCACATGGTCATCTCAGTTAAAATATTTGAAAGACATCAAAATTCCTAGATTGCTTCCCAAAATAGACGAAAGTACCACTCTGCATGTATTTTCGGACGCAAGCAAGGACGCGTATGCGACCTGCATTTTCCTTAGACACAGCGGTGAGAGTGGAGTCACTTGTCAATTGATACAATCTAAAGCGAGAGTTGCTCCCCTAAAAGCACTCACCATACCTCGACTAGAGATACTCGCTTGCACTATTGGAGCCAGGCTCTCTCATGCAATAAGAGAAGACTTGAAACTAAAAAGAGGTTCCAGTTTTTTACTGGACGGATTCCACAAATGCTCTCTTTTGGATAAAACAGAAAGAAAATTGGTCCACTTTTGTAGCCAATCGAGTAAATGAGATTCGAAAATTGAGTAACCCAGATCACTGGCATCACATTCCCGGAAAGTTTAATCCTTCGGATTTGCCATCACGCGGTTGCTCTGCAAAAGAATTGAGGAAATCCGAATGGTGGAAAGGACCAGATTGGATTTATCGACCTCCAGAAGAGTGGCCTATTGCAGATGGAGAAACATCCTGACTTCGATATAGTAAATGGAGAGAGAAAACGAACTGTGGTTTCAGCCAGCAATAACACGAATACAGATAAATTTAACCTTTTTGACAATATTTCAAAATTCGAAAAGATCATAAAGGTCGTATCTTGGATCTTTAGATTCATTAAAAATGCTACAACACCACCATCTGAAAGAACTCATGGGAGAATTTCAGTCGAAGAACTAAAGGGAGCTGAAACAGTGGTTTTCCGACTCATCCAACGAGAATCTTTCGAAGGATTGAAAGATAAAAGAATACGTGCTCTAGAACCTATCATGGACTCCAATGGCCTTATAAAAGTGAAGACACGTATCTTTCAGAGAGACGATGATGCTGACTTTCGTTACCCAGTTTTACTTCCCTCAGAACATCCATTAGTCTTAAAACTGATCAAATCTGAACATGAAAGGCTAAGTCACGCTGGAGTACAATTCGTTATGTGCGCTTTGCGTGAAAAATATTGGATCATAAAGAGTAGGAAGACCGTACGCAAGGTTATCCAAAAACTGTGTACGATGTCGAAGGTTCGACTCTGATTCATATAAGATTCCTCAAGCGCCACTACCTGAAGACAGAATAAGAGATGCTTTAATTTTTGAGATTATTGGTGTTGATCTGACGGGTCCCTTAATTTTAAAAGGAGGCCAAAAAACATGGATCGTCATTTTTACTTGCGCAATATATAGAGCAGTTCACTTAGAGCTAGTCTCATCTCTATCAACCGAAAGTTTCCTGCACGCGTTCAGGCGATTCATCGCTCGAAGGGGTAGACCTGTCACTGTATACTCCGACAATGGAACCAATTTTGTTGGATCAAATAATTTGTTTAAGACCATAGATTGGAATTCTATCTTAGAAAATGCAACAGTTAAGAAAATTGAATGGAAATTTATTCCCCCTTCCTCGCCATGGTGGGGAGGGTGGTGGGAAAGATTAATTGGAGTACTAAAGAGAATTCTTCGAAAGGTACTAGGAAAATCTTCTCTGAACTACGAAGAATTGTTGACAATCATTTGTGACTGCGAGAGCATTATGAACAACCGTCCTCTCACGTATTTGTCAGAAGACGTAAAGGATTTAAGAGCTCTCACCCCAGCAATGTTTCTAACAGAAATTCCAGAGACTGGAGTTCCTGAATTAGATCTTTTGGATTCTAAATCCATCAATAAAAGATACCTTTACAGAGCCAAATTGAGAAAAGATTTACGAAAAAGATTTCGATCAGAATATTTAGGGCAACTAAAACAAAGCTCAAAATTCATCCGCGAACCATCTTCTGTGAAAGTTGGTGATCTTGTAATTGTGTCCAACAACGAAAAAAGGATAAACTGGCCCTTAGCTAGAATCGTGGAAATTTTTCCATCCCACGACGGACACATTAGATTAGTGAAACTGAAAACTGCACAAGGGGAGATTATAAGACCTACTAAGAACCTCATACCTCTTGAACTCAACTTTACACCTGAGTCGGATATGCAAGTGAGGTACAGAACTCGACGTATGACGAAATCTCAAAAGACTTGAACTACAGGTCAGTTGAGGTCCATCCTCTGTTGATACTGGACCTCAAGGTGGGAGTGTCGCGTTTGCTTACTAGAACTTTACTTCCACGAACGCCCTCTGGCGAAAGAGACTAAAAGTAGTCAGTTGAACGGCTGACGCGTCTAACAGATGTATAACGATAGACCGTCTCCGTATAAATTATGCTTGTAATCATTATAACTTGTAAATATTTTGTAGATATCTTTCATACGAATTAAAATTTCTTAAAAAGTTTATAGCTGTGTTTCGCAGTGAATCGAAGTTCATCATAGAGACGGATACCGACAAGAAGGAAAGAAGGCAGTTCAGGGCAGCCCTATTTAGAAGGTAAGTGAACTTTCACTTATCTATTTAATGATCAAAAATTTTAATAGTACAAAGTTGATAAAATTTTTTAACAATGTGTTTTGTGAAACTCTCATCTTGACTGTTTTTTCAACAAGGTGTCAATACAACTTTGGAACATGTACATGAAAAGAACTGTTCTCTCGAATATTTCTCGAGTTTTGATCCATCAGGGCTTAAAGGTGAAGTTAGGGGAAAGGCAAAGATATTTTTATAGTCTCTGGATGTTTCATTTAAATTGGGAAATACCACTACCAGACACTTTTGACTAAAAATTAGCAAAGTTTATCTCTCAATTTCTGAGTATTGAAACCATTGCTATTACAAAATATTTTCCCGATGATAATAGTGTAAATATACAAGGGGTTTTGATTGTATTAAATTTAGCATATAGTGTTGTAGTTTATGCATAATAGAAGTCATTTAACAGTACTACTGCTGAACACCTTGTTTACAACAAATCACGAGTTGATCCCATCAAGCCCTTGACTATACTAAGACTGGAACTTTGTGCAGCACTGTTACTATCACAGTTACATGTTGCAGATTACTGTGGTCGTCAAAGCTTTAGAATTCAAAGATTGCACCTCCATTCTAGAGTCAGACTCAACTGTTGTGCTAGCATAGTTGAAAAAAACCTGCACATAAGCTGAAAACCTTTGACAGAAATAGATTATTGGCTATATATAAGATTATAAATAATTTCCACTGAAAACGTGTAATTTTGGATAATAATCCAACTGATCTTTTTCAGGGATCTTGTTCCTGATAAGTTCCAAGACCAAGATTTAAGTAGTATCTACCATTTCTTTCTGAATCCACTTATTTCTAAGAGGGCTGTCCACTTGTGAGTTTAAGCAAGCGACAGATATATTAGTTTGATTTATGATGTAAATGATAATGCAGCATTTTTAAATATTAGTTATCTTACTAACAATTACATTAAATTAATCAGAATTCTATTCTTGCCTCTTTTATTCTAGTTCAATTATTATGTCAACATGAATCTGGTTATAACCTTAAGTTTAATGAATGACAAAATATTCCTGATTTTTAATAGCAAAAAAATATTAACAACTTAAAAAGATAATAAAGTTAAACACAAATTTTATTACCTTCCTTATAACATGTGAAACATCTAGGTGCAAAATTAAACTTGTTTGAAAATTTTAATGATCCATGAGAGTTTAAGGCAGTCAAAAATCTTTCTCCTGTAAAAATAGTCAGATTTACATTAATGAAGCACAATATAATTCATGACAATAACTTTAAGAATCACTGTATCACACTATGATATGAATAAGAGAAACCTATCAGAGAATTTAGAACAGAACTGATAATAATCCAAGGAAAGATTGAAGTTAAAGCCAAGACTAAAGTATGTATCATTGCATACAAGATGCATGTAAGTTATCTTCCTACAGCTATTACAATAGAAAGTGTAGAAGGATAGAAACTGCTCTTACACAATACACTCCTATTTAATGTCATAAAGCAAACTTTATTGCTTCTCCTTGCAATGGTTTGAGATTATTTAAGAATAACATATTGTAACTTTGAATGAAATATAAATATAGTACTACTGGTCACTATTTTTATCATGAAATAGTCATTTGTAAATTCTTATTTTTCCTAAGACTTTCATGAGAAGTGTTAGTTCTTTTTTTTTCCAGCGTGGATGATTTTTATTACCAGAGCAAACTATCATGCTTATGGTTGTAACACAATAATCTAGCAACTGGTATTCAAGTGGCAAACAGCAGATTTGGTTGAATATTCTTAGAATTAGTTGCACATTTTTCATTCAGGCTAAAGATTATTCTATGTTTAATTGAAATTTGAAAAGACTTTCAACTTTTTATTAATGATCTACACATACTATTTATGTTCTGAACTTGATACTAACAATTTTTAACATTAAAAAGAAGCAGAAATCTTAGGTCTCTTGCAGAAGAAACAATTAACAATTTTTGGAAAACTTTTAAAGTGTTTTAAATGTTCTATTAAATTATACGAGATCATCAAAGTTTGATATGCAAAATTATTTTATGCATGGATGAAGAATTGCATCCACTAGCTTACTGTAATATCTTTCACTTCACCTGTAACTATATCAAAATAAATAAAAGAGTTTGCCATGATCATCAAGGTTTTGAAATCATATATTATGGCTTACAAGTAAATCATATCCAACTTCAAATTTAATAGTGAATATAGCTATTTTCCCTTCTGATCATTTAATAAATCAATAAATATGGGCAGGCTGTTGACTAGCTGAAAGCATCTCAGTAAAACTTAAAATATTAATTTACAAAATAGCAAATATGATAAATAATATTTTTCAGTAGTGCTCTTCTAAATAAAAAATACATTTACTCCATCACAACCTCCTAATAATATTAATTTTAAAGTTAACATTTTTAAGTTATAATAAAAAAATCTATTACATACTATATTTTATTTTATCTCAGTGTTTGTAATTTCATTCAAGTGTTTGCCCTTAATATTTAAGGAATTTGTTCAATACTCTGGCTCACAACAAATTTTATGCAATTTAAATACATAGATGGAAATTAATTAAATTATGAATAAAACATAAATAGTAATAAAAATATAAGAAATCATTTTAATCAATGAAGTATTAAATAACTTCGAAAGAAGTTATTTAATTACCTAAAATTACAACTGTTGGAGACGTCTTATCTTCAACTGTCATAATATCTATAGCAGAATCACAAAGGATGTATGTCCATTCAGGCTACATGAACAAATTAAATATAATACAAGAAAATATTTTAAACCTGAGTAAAAATTTTAATGCATATAAAAATTCTTACTGCAACTTTTTTCCCTTTAAAATTCATATTTTCATTCTCGCTGCCAGAGTCACTTGCACTAGCTAAGGCTTGAAATCTTTAAATAAGCATATGTGAGTATTAGATCTACACAATAATAATAATAATAATTTATTAGTAATAAAAATAATATTTAACCCTTTGCAGATGACTAATGCATATATGTGTCCAATCTTAATGATAATCATGAAATAAAATTTATTTCAAATGACCTAGATATATTTAGTGTTTTTAAGTGGCAAGTTTTGTTTTTGAATTAACTGATGACATACCTCATCTATGATGAAGCATGTAATCTTTTACATATTTACAGAAGATACTTATTTTTAATCTGTTACCATTTTTTGAAATCATTAAATAGATGCTTCTAAAACTTAAAAACTTGAAAACTAAAAACTTAAAAACACTCTAGTATGTGTCACTTCCATATCACCCTCCTCCACCATAGAGGGGAAACTCTATAACAAAATATGCCACAGAATCAGAGTGTAACTAGATGAAAAAAATTAAATTTTCAATTAGTTGAAACTAGAAGCTATGACTGAACACATAATTGGACGATAGGCTAGTTAAAATAAAAGTGAAATTCAAAGCATGTGCACATTTTCTTTCTACTGTAGCAATCAAATTGTGAATGAAAGCAGAATGTCTAAAATAAAATAAGACTGAAATATGACATTTTTTTTTTTTTCCATTTTAACAGAAAAGACAGATGAAAATACTGAAGGTTTTAACATGAGTGAAATTGTCAATATAGTTTTTATCAACATAATGGCTGCAATAAAAAAGAATATGTGCTACCTGTGCTTTGATTTCTATAGTATTCAAAAGACATAACTTCCCACTTTAAAATTTGAGCAATGATAGACACTTTATGAGTTCAACAGTCATTCCAAGTTTAGCTATGGGTTAAGATATTTATTTTTATAAAAAAGAGAAATTAAGCTCTTATGCATGCAACAAAGAATATTTTTGGTAAATTAAGCTTAGTACTAAAATTCTGCAGTCCTCTAGCACAAAACTTTTAACAGCCCATGATTCCAGTGACCCATAAACAAAATTCCTTAGCCAGCTACAAAGGATTGTTACATTACACTGCTGAAATTAAAGCAAGTTTTAACATAATTAAAATTTTTATCATAATTATTTATCTTTAAATCTGTACTGTGAAGTACCTGTAGCTTTCTACAGAGAATCCATTAATAGTAACAAATGAATCTGTTTTTGATAGATAGGAAGTTGGTCCAGGAATAAGGTTCTTAGGAAGAAATCTACTAAATGAAAATCTTTCTTGTTCAAAAAAACTTAATGTTCCATCCAAAGACTGGACACACATCATATCTTTGCCTGCAAAGAAAGCATTAATTAGTAAAGAAAATTAAGTACTTAATGAAAATGAATTAGTCTTAAATGAAGCTTCAAAACTAGCATTCATTTTGCAAAATTTACAAAATGAATAAATAAATAAAAAATAAATAATACATTATGCCCAAAGGATCTTTTTTTAATGTTTTGTGTGCTACCTTTATTTATTAAGTATCATGTTCTTCACACTTAAACCATAAAATTTAATTAAGCAGCAATATCGCAAAATAATTTTTAAATGAGCATATCTTTAGAATTTCTGATACACAGTCTCGCGTACTGGAGATAATTCCCCTCCCCATACAGTATTGCTATTGTTCGCTTTGAAATTGGTGAGTTTGTTAATAAAAAATTCGTTAAGTGTTACAAAATATGAAACCAATAATAAAACAAATTTCAAATTCGGGCTTCCAGATGCCCAAATTCAATGGAAGATTACGTTATTCAAAATTTGATGGCTCTAGGTACCATTGTTTTATCACAATGCAAGAAACATACATTTATACAGATTTTTCATTATTTAATTTATTTAAATATAACACAGGGCTGTAATATTTGGTGGCAACAATTTGAAAAGCGAATGGACATTTATAGCGAACCGAAGCAAAATGCCAAAACGACAATTAATAACCCTTCTGGGTAATAAATAAAATAAAATATTATATAGATATCAAACTAGACTTAAAGCAAAATGAATTTATATATTAATATTTAAAATAAATATATAGTCACAGAACACTTTAACTAGCGAATATAACTGAGAATTCACTACACAAATTAAAAAATAATACAGATGTAACACTGAAATAAAAGAAAATGAAAAATGGAAATATTAATATTGATATTTAAAACAGTTAACGTGGAAATATTATTAAGCTTGCAACTAGAAACCACATCACTTTCCCAAAGTCTTGAAGACTCACCTTCTACATATAATACTGCTTATTTTCCTCAGCCTCATCCAAAGGAAAACACTGTCTTCTACATCATTTTCAGCTTTGAATTTTATTTATTTATTTACTTTATTTTGATTTTCTGTGTTTCCTAAAGTTTACTTACCAGACAGATTTTGATAAAATATGAAAGAATGCTAAAGCTTAAATTCTTTTACTCTTTTACTCTTGGGGTATTATTCAGTATCTAGACAAAAAAATTGCCCACAACAACTTCTTTGTCCATATCAAATTCAAAGGACTTAAAGGAACTGTGTCATGTAAGATCACAACACTACTACAATCATTTGATCAAGATGTAATAATAAATTTTTAACAAAAAGTATTTAAACTTTGATTAAGTAATAGTAAAAACTCTTAAAGAAGAATGAAACTTACAGTTTTCACTCTTGATGCTGTTTATTATATTTGCAGATGCCAGAAAGATGTTTCAAGCAGAAACTCAGCAAAATGCTTGAAGCAGCAAACTTTGTGAAAGAAAAGGAATCAGAATTGAATGAAAAATTTGATGATGATGACAATATTCCTGTAGACATTTTCTTAAAAAATCTGATAACCAAGAAAAAGAGATAGAAGAAAATACAGACGTTTATATAAACATAGATAAAGCTTTATCTATTTTTGCAGATAATACGAAACCAAAAATAATAGTTAAAATTTCAAAAGTGAAGAATTTTGAATCAGGTAATGACAAAATCACCAACTGAAGAAAATGATCTTTAGAAGAAAATGATAAACATTTACACTTGATGAGACACAATAACAACAGATAACGATTATGGTATACTAGATGGAGGGAAAATGATTTTCAGATCTAAATGAAGTGAATCAAATAGTCCTTTCATAACAAGGTAAAAATGGCACATAAAGTATTTCTTTTCTATTTGTATTAAATTATGACCTTGATGACAGAATCTCAAAGATAAATTTGAATCTTGCATTTCATTCTACTTTCAGACTCGCATCATGTAATGCATTCCCCATTAATTAAACCTGAGAGTGATGTATTATCAAAATTTGACTAAACAAAAGCATATTGATTAATTAATTTTTTGTTAATTTCATTAATTAATAAGCAAATGACCATTAATTTTTTTAATATAATCCATTCAAAATATTGTTTCATGCATTTAAAAATTAAATTAAAATTAAATGGCATTGCTTCATTCTTATAATAAACCTTTCTTGACGAAATTTCTTCAAGTCTTTCTTAACACAATTTCTCAAAAGTCTTTTAAGAAGGAATTTCTTAAAAGACTTTTGAAGCAATATGTTAAAAGAACACAATAATTACAGATATAAAAGTAATTAATTTTTTTAATGTAAATGTACTCACAGTACTTTTGATTTATAAATTTACCTTGAATTCCACCAAAGCGACCAATAATGAGGCAAAATGAATGCCTCTGCAAATTATGTTCATAAATAAGAGACAATCGGGACTCAGTTCCATGTTCTACACTTCCTTGAACAGCTGGAAAAATAAGTTCAAAAAATTAGAGAGAAAATCTACAAAAATAAATTAAATAGAGATTACAATGTTATTAAAATTGGCAGGCAATTCCAGTATCTTGACACAACATTGCTAATATCAAAACTAAAGGAAATGCACAGCTTATATAATTTGCATCTGAGATGCTTTTGTACACATTTAAATTTAATCATTGCTTTACTACAAAGTAATATCTATTTGACTGATCTTGCTGCTAAGATTGCAATGACTAAATTAACTATTTGTATGATTTTAAATATAAAGAAGTTCTCAAATCCCCTGATGTGGTGACGGAAATTATAAAATTGACCTCTATCAAGAGACAACTGGAAAATATGGATAGATGCATATGTACAAAATTATGCATGTATCTGTGCAAGTACAAATTTGAAAATTTACATACTATTGCTTCCACTGTTCAAATAACCTAGAATTCAAATAATTTGGACCCAAAACAAAAGATTCCGGCAAATTTTGCCCCAGAATTCTGAATGCTGCTTTATATTCCACTCATGTGGTTTGTGTGGAATGTTGCTCATGTGTTTCTGATGTTTGGATAAATGAAAAACAGCTGGTTGGTGATGTGATTTCTGAAATGATAATTTTTAAGGTCCTCTATACTGATTTAGTTAAAGGTGCACTGAAAAGGAGGCTTTCAGCAAGAAGTGCTGAAAAGGAGGAGTTTAAAGCTAGTAATGGTGGTTCAAGAACTTTAAGAAAAGGACTAAGATTAATGGCCTTGTTACGCACTGGGAAGCTGTCAGTTCTAATTCAGAAGAAAGAGAAAAGTTTTTAACAGAGTTTCTAAACAGACAGAGGTATGTATCAAACCAAGTGTTCAACTGTGACAAAACAAACATCTTTTGGAAACAAAAGGTACCACTTAATGATATGTAGAATCAAATGTAAAATTTGATCTCCACATAACATTAAGCAGTACCAAGCAGTTACTTCAATGAATGGATATATAAAAAGTGTTTTCTTCAGTAAAGGCTAAAATCTCCTGATGAAGGTTCTCCTTGTCCTAGATAAAACTCTTGCATATCTTCTAGAGATATAAGGTGGTTTAGTGGGCAAATATAACTTCCTCACGATAAAATATTTCTTCCCCAACATCACTTTTCTTAGCCAGGAAATAGACCAGCAGTTGATCTTGAATTAAAAAACAATTATACACAGAAGATAGTAACATTTAAAAGATGTTTTAAAGCTTGAAATGAAACAAATCTGACCTTTGGAGGGTTCGGGAAGAAGAACTGTAATATCTTCCATTGTATAAGAATTATCAAGAAAACAAAGAATGAATCTCTTTGAGGCTTGAATACAATAAACTTGAAATACACAAATTTCTGACCTGAAAGTGTTGCAGGAACATAATCAAGAGACTTTAAGGAACTTTTTATTGTTCCTGATATAATATCTCTTGGTAAGTCCATGGGTTTAGAAGTCATCCAAGAGGATGTCAGTGAGTTAGCGTACAGTTACAGAACTGAGCTGAAAATGCTCCTTCAGCATTTCAACCAACTGTAGCAGGGAGTAGTCACAAATGAAATTTTTTCAGAAGAGAAAGATGATGGAACTGTCTCCTCAACTGAAATGAAGAATCTTCTTAGCATACGATCAAAAACCAAGGCAGGCTTAAGAACTATTACACTAAAAAGCCTTTACTAACACCTTTTCTAATTTGTTCAATGATGTTAACTTGGACATCAAGTTGTTAACTTGTTCATCAAGCATTTAGGAAAAGTTTAAAAAAGTTTGATAACATTAGATCACTTTGGATCAATTGCTCTAAAAAAACTCCATGATCATCAATCCTACACTAAGCCTTATAAAAATTTCTTCCTCTTTTTATCAATGAGTATGATTTCGCACATTCAAGCAAATTCTGCACTTATTCAATTCATTGTCTATACTGCGGAGATAATCATCATATCTCGCAATGTCAAGCTCCAGCTCCAACCTGCATTAACTGTCAAGTTAATAACTTATATTTTAACACCAATTTTCATATCTATCATGCTGCAAATGACGTTCACTGCCCCTGCTTATCAATTAGAAGTCTCAAAATAAATCAAGAACATACTACTAATGGATTCTCATAAACAAATAAGAATACTACAAATAATTTACAAAGAGCTCGTGCTACTTTATTGAATGCTCTACAGTTTGCAAAGAAGAAAATATCAATATCATCTTTGCACAAGAACCATATATTTCCTCAACAAGGAAATTGGAAAAATTCCATCGGGGCTATTTTATCATCTTTCGCATTCTCATAATTTGCTATAATCTACATTGGGCCTCTAACTCCAATAATAGTTTCAACTACTCTACATTACAATAACTATCAAATTAGAATTTCTTATTCATCCTTTATTTTGTACCTCCATTTATGCTCCTCCATCAATAGACTTGCAAGAAGATACTTATAGAACTGGACTCAATTCAACTGCCTCCAAACTCAAATCACATCATTGCAGGAGACTTCAACGCACATAGCCTGTATGGGGAGCGCCGGTTGAAAATAATAGAGGTAGACTGCTTTTAGAATTTATTCAAGAAAAACGACTTACAATTTTAAATAACGCTAATAGTCCACCTACATTCCTGACATTAAGAGCACAAGGTTGGATTGACTTAACTCTCGCAACGCCTAAAATAGCAATCCTTAATCTCAAATTGGAAAGTTTCTGAAATAGAATCTTTTTAGTGAATCACCGATTCATCACCTTTGAAATACAATCTGATTTCACTTTTTATAAAAAAAAAGTCGCTTCAAAACTCCATTATGGTGCGGACACAATAAATTTATAGCTAATCTACAAAATTACTCTGCCAGTATTCTTCATTCCTTAAAAACAGCTTCTTCAAAGGCGGAAGTCAATACCTCTTTCATACCTCATAAACATTACAACAGAGATCTGCAACGCCTCATATAAACAATGCTCAACTACCAAAAAATCAAGTACTCCATGGTGGAACCAAAATCTTGCAACAAAAGGAAAAAAAGTAAGAGCTCTCAGAAGATACAAAGCCTGTATAGAAGATACAGAAAGAACTCACTATAAAATAGCATTCCAAAAAGCAAGAGCACAATATAAAAGAAATATCAGAATATCAAAAATTAATAGTTGGAAAACATTTTGCACTTCTACCTCCAAAATTTATGGCTCCGCCTTCAAAATAGCGCACAATAAAATTTTTCACTCCTCCTTCATATTCATATCAATGTACAGCTTCTCTGAATCAATTTCCTCTTCCCAGGCTGCGTTAGAAATTTTATCAAAACTATTCCCACAAGATGAATATAGGATCGAATCCATACCACAGATACAGAAGCAATCTAACAGTTCTTCTACATGTCGTCCTAATCCATCAACGGTTATCATCCCTCCAAACATCGATGAATTGGAACATGTCATCAAAAGACTAAATAACAAAAAAGCACCAGGTCCCGATGGAATCGACAACATTATCTTATTTTTTATTATAATCAATCAACAAACTATTAAATCATTCATTAATCGCCTGCTGGTATAACTTAACATTTCCTAATATATTAAAAAATGCAGAAGTTGTTTTGCTCCTCAAGAAAAATAAACCAGCCACAATCCCTCTATCTTATAGACCAATATGCCTTCTTCCCACGTGGGCAAACTCCTTGAAAAACTAATCCTTTCAAGACTTTTGATGATATAAAATCATCTGAATAAAATTAAAATCATGCATGAAAATCAGTATGGATTTACGCCAAATAAATCAATAGATCATGCTTTTCAAAAAATGCAAGAAGGTTTAAAGATGAATGAATCAAAGAATCTTCATTCAATAATAATTTCGATAGATATTCAAGCAGCCTTCGATTCTATCCGCTGGAAAGACATCATAACAATTCTAGAAATAATATCATGCCCTCAGGATATCCTTCATATTATCAAAGACTACTTATGCAATAGAACTCTACAATATTCTTCAGATTCCGGTGTAATAAATTATAAATTAACAAAAGGTTGTCCTCAAGGATCTTACTTAAGCCCTACGTTTTGGAATATTATAGCAAGCAAAACTATATGACAATATTAATCATACCCATATCCAAGCATATGCAGATGATTTTCTTCTCATTGTGAACGCAAGTAGCCGGAAATCAATAGAAATTAACTCCAGTTTTTCTTTAAATATCTTCCGCAACTGGACAGATAAATTTCATCTTAAAATTTCTACTACAAAATGTAAAGCACTATATATTCCAAAAAGAGGTACTTCCATAAAAAACCTAAGAAAGCCAATAATCAAAATTTCTCAAGAAAAAATCAAAATTGACAAGAGCATCACATATCTGGGAATAGTATTAGATACTCGGCAATCCTGGCATTTCCATATTCAATATCTCAAAAACAAAACTTTAACCCTTCACAATTCTCTTCGATCTGTAACAGATAGTAACACTTGGGGTATATCCTCAAAATTAGAAAAAATTTGGTACATAACAGTTATTGAAAAAATACTACTATATGGAGCTTCCGTCTGGGGTTTAACCTTGAATTCCCAGGCTCAAAAAACATTTACTTTCAATCCAAAGACCTTTCCTCCTCTCTCTAGCAAAAGCATATAGAACTACTCCAACTAGTGCGCTACAAATAATAACCGGCATCCCTCCAATTAACTTTATCTCTAATAAAAGAAGCAAATAAAGTAAGAATATCAAAAACTAAGAATTCAAAGCATAATGAATAATAATGTATTTCAACCCACAGATTTTGAATATCTTAAACACAAACTTAGAGCTACATCCTACATATTTTTACACAAAATCCCTATTGGGAACCTTTGAACTCAATAAATATGAACTCACCATATATACTGATGGTTCGAAATCTGAAGCAGGCGTTGGTAGTGCATATTGCGCATTCCGAAAAAATTCAAATATTAAAAACTGGAATATTCGTTTAAACAATAACAACTCAGTTTTTCAAGCAGAACTTTTTGCAATCAAAGAAGCCATATGCTTCGCAAAAGAACTTTCTTTACCATCCTTAATTCTCTCTGATAGTGCATCTGGTATTCAAGCTATAATTGGACACAGTCGATCGCCTATTGTACAAGAAATCCATTTTCTACTTTCTCAATTTCAAAACAATAATAGACCACATTTCAAATGGATTAAAGCACACATCGGTAATAGTGGTAACGAGCTCGCAGATGAACTAGCAAAAGAGGCTGCAACAACAAATTCTTCCCTTCCAAATTACTCAATTCCATATCCAAATCATTACATTACTAAAACAAAATTAGAAACAGAATTAATGCACTTATGGAAGCAAACCTGGACTGAAGCAACTACCGGCAGAAGAACTTTTACTTTCATATCAAAACCTTCCAGATCATTAATATATCAACCAACCGTCAATTACATTTTTCCTAACAGCTCATGGTCCATTTCCAGAATACCTTCATAGATTCGGACTTCAGCATACAAATCTCTGTACCTGTGGAATGAAGGCACAATAGATCATTATCTCTTTCACTGCAACCTTACTAAAGGATTATCACCTTAAAGCATACAATTTAACTTCTGCTCAGTTATGGTTTCAACAGTTATTAAAAAGTAATATTCTAAGAAATCATCTCATAATATAATAAATTATATCTCCGCAAACATCGATAAAAAGGACTTGAATATTCTTTGTTCATTTATTTACCTTCTTAATTTTCTACTTTTAATGCTTCACTCAAGACTATCTTTATTTAAACCTTCAAGATCTCTCAAGCTCATCAAGAATTTAAGGATATTTTCTAACTCCATCTCCTTAATATATTAATAAATCTCAACTCAAGATTTTTAGTCAAGTCTTTACTCAAGAATGACTCTCTATCAAGAATTTCCACGAACTTTCATTCAGGTCATCCTAATTCATTCAAATACTATTTCTCATCAACTTTTATTCAATTACTGCTCTTCATTCTCCATAATGAAATACTTTACTCTTTACATATCTTACATTCTCAGCCTCTACTATTCTCATACATTATGTTGTTCATTTTCAAAATTTGTAATGATCTTCTTAAGTATTTACTTATGTATTTACGTTTCATTTACTTTCATATTTATTTAGGTATTATGTTTTTATATATTTAATTTCTTCAATTTTTATTATATAATTCTCAAAATTCTGATACTTTATTTGACTTCATATATAACACATTGTATTTATCTTATTCTAATTTTTAACTTTTATTTATTGTATCTATTTATGTTTATTATTTATTGTATTATTTTATTTTTGATATTTAATTTTTATTATGTAATTATCAAAATTCTAAAATTTTATTGTATTTTACATACAACACAGTTGGTAGATGATTCCATCATTGAGCGTAAAAGCTGAATGTCTTAAGGCGGTGCAGCGCTCATTGATGGTAAATAAATAAAAATAATGATGTATACAGGACTTTTCTTTCCTTTTTACTGAAATAGTAACACAAAATAATAACAGCAGATACACCAAAACCACATTGGTTTGATCAGGACAAAGCATTCTCATTAAGGTTTCCAAAACTTACAATCCATCTTCCTCAAGAAAAATAGTATTAGGGCTTTTAAATCACTTATTATAAATCATATATAATAAAAAATATTTTTTTTTTTAAACTAGAAAAAAGATTATGATTAATCAGAAGACTTTAAGCCTTAACAATGTAAAGCTAATACAAAGACAAAACCTTCTACTTCATAAAAACAATCCACACAGATTGCTTGCCTCATTTGGTAAGGGAGCCAGCTGCCATCATATCCCTGGACTGTTTCAATTCTAGAGAAAGATAGGTATTTATAATCTCAGTTCTTGGTATCATGGGGACCGTAAATATTATGAGCAAATATGTGTGGTGGTGGGGATAGATACATTCTTACGCTACGGGGTACCCTTCTTTATTCAAAATTAGGACCCGATCGACAGCCCCATGCTAAAACAAACAGCCAACATGCTAAAATAACAGTTGACCATCTGCTCCATCATTGGTGAAAACACCATCTTAGATTTTGGTCAAAGGATTCTAATTCCTTCATAGAATAATCAACCAAAGCTAAAGTCTAATAAATTACCGTGTTCTCTCGTGTATATGCCACACTGTTTTTTCTCACAAAAAAAGTAGATGGAAATCATGAATGCAGCTATGTATTCAAATGATTAGAAATAGATACATACAAACATATGACACCTTAGCACATATTTAATGATTGAGTATAAAATCCATCAATGTAAGATGAATGTTGCATAGAATTGTATAAGTTTTGTGGTCACAGGTCAGTTGAAGAATGTTTGGAAAACACTTCAGCTACAATGCCTATTTTTAACTGCAAATTATGCAGTTCTCTGAGGAAAATGGGAACCAAGCTGCAGTGTGTCATTTTGATTTTGATGAATCCAATGCTCAATGGTAGAAAAAGCAGAGGAATGAACTTCAAGGAAGAAGTGGCAAGAAGAAAATGTTTTGTGGAAAAGCAGCAGCTAAGTATCTTCAGTTAGAAGATAATGTTTTATTGTATGTGAAGCTGCTTTTGTACCTCCTAAAAAAAAAAAAAGTTTAAGATGGTAGAAAGGTTATTTGCAGCTTATTCTCAAGAAGATTTTTTTTAATTAGAGGTAAATATTAAGAATTTGGCTTATAAACATGAGAATACTGTATATATTTCAAGCATGGCCAGTTTATATGGATGAATCTAGAAGTGACTATTCACATTCCGAAATGACTAGTCACTTGTTATCAAGCTTGAATCACAACTTATACAAACAGTTAACACCATTGCAATAATGTATAAATGGAAAACAGAGGGTTTTGATTTCTTGACACACTGAGTTTTATTTATTAATACAAAGACTTTTTAAATATATATATTTATGATAAATATAAAGAACAGTATTCAACAAATTTAATATATATATTTGTTTACTGTAACTGAGTAGACTGATTTTACTAAATGGATGAAGAACTACTAATTAAGCATTTCAGATACTTAAAGAAAAGGACAGTAAACAATAAATAAATAACATACCTGATAGCAAGATATTTGTGAATTGTGTTAAGCATCAACAAAACAGATAGCTAGAAACAGCGATAGGAAGAACAACTTGATGTATCTAAAATTTTTATTCCCTTCACGAACCCATAGATATCTTTTTAACTCGGATCTTAACAGACATAGATGTAGAGGCCTTTTGTAACACATGATGCTTTCAGCCTTGAACAGGCATGCAATTTAAGCGTTATACTGGAATACTTAGATAAATTATTTAGTAAAAAAATTCCAGCTTTTGAAAAGTTTTCTTTTCTTTTCTTTTTTTTTTTTAAATTTGATCATAAAACTGTAAAGTTAGCTACTTTTATATTTTTTTTATTTTTCAGAGCTACTTTTTTGTATAGCATCATTTTCCACTCTTTACCTCAGAATTTACTTCATTTTACTTCATTTTCAGTGCAATATTAATTTACAATATTAAATATTATATGATGAGAGATTCAGAAAACCATATCTTAAATTACTGCTGACTTTTATTTATCTCAGAATGATATTTATTTAGTGAAACAATATCAACTTTACATAGTTTAATGCTTTTTTAGCTTTTATGTTGATATTATCTATGAAACAAAAGTTTAATGCACTGCTACATTTTTGTGGCAAAAATTTAACCTTTTCACCTTATAAATTTATCTAATGTCCAAAAAATAAATTTCAACATCTTTCATTGTCTGGGGACTTTGCAGTGAAAGAAGTAAATAAATCAGCATGTTTCTGAACCAATAAAGATACAAATTAAAGTTTGAAACTTAAAATAATCTCAAAAAAGTGATCGAAGTAATTTGTGTCTTTATGAGTCAGTGTGCTTCTGAGATTATTTTAAGTTTTAAAATTTAATTTTTTTACTATTTTGTTTTTTATGGTTCACAGACAGACTGATTTATTTATATCTTTTGTTGCTCTAACCCCCTGATGGCAGTGTAGCAAAAGATGTAAATTTCTTATTTCACTTTTGGTTTTGGCATGTTTTACCCCATTTCTTTTCAGTTTGCCACAATACATCTAGTATATTTGGGTTTTTGCATATATTTATTCTGAAATGAATATGGGATAAAATTTAAATGTATTATGTTTTAATTTATTTAAAATTATTACCACCACTTCTTGCTGCTTTCACCATGAAATTGGATTAGGTTTTGAACTACTTTTTACTTTGTATTTATCTCTCTCTCTCTATATATATATATGCGTGTGTATGTAACATTCTAGATTTCAAGAGAAACTTACATGAAATATTAAACCGAATTGGGATTAAAATGTATAAATAAGTGTTATTAATTCAGTATATAATAATACACAATGTTTTTATTTGATATAAATTCATTTTCATGCACAAATTGAGTGTATTGCATCATAAGGACATTAATCATAAAGGTATACTGAAAATGTATTGTATTTCAACTTATATTGTTGTAAGGTTAAGAATATTAGTCTTTATCATAAATAACTGACTTTAAGAAACTATAACAAAATGCTACTGTTTATTATCATTTTTAAACCAAACATTCAATCATGAAATTTTGAACAAAATTGCTTGGTACAAAATTGAACAAAATTGCAACAGTGTTATAGGTAATGAAGTTCCTCTCAAGATATCCAAGGAATCAAATTTTGAATCATTTATGGATGTCTGTGAAAGTAGTCTTTGTGGAGAGAGGATACTAAAAATTTGTCCAAATCATTTTTGACAGGACTGTGGCAAGAGAAGAGGCACACAACATCCTTGGATTATATGTCTGGGATGTTCTTCATGAAAACTAGGATACTGGACACATTTGCCACAATTATATACATATACAATTGTGAATGATGTCTAAAACAAACAAATGCATCAACCCAATGCATGAGGCCCATTTATGCAGTTAATGCCAGAATATTCCCCTTCATTTATTTAACCAACAGTCAAATACAAATACATATGATTGTTGTACTCTAGCATGTAACCTTATCAGATATAGATTATTAGGATTGAGATTATTTGTAATATCAGAAATCACAACAGTATGCCTTATGGAACAGATGCTCAGGAAGATGCCATTTTAAGGGAAACTGGCTCATATTTACGTTGCACATGAATTAAAAACCACAAAAACTTCGATGCAACCAGCCCACTCACCAAAGTTTGAATCTGGATCTAACTACCAGTGTTCAACTATTTTGCTCCTTGGTTGTTGGTAATTTTTTCCCCTCAGCTTATCTGCTAAATTTGTTTTCAAATAACTTTAAGTACTAAAAATTCTCCAATAAATTTACTCAAAACTATTTTCGTATTAGGACAGCAGCTCTATTCAAACTCATATATTGAAAGAGGCAAGCCTGGCCATATGTTAAAGATGATAATAGAAATATCAAATATAAAAATGAATGGATTAGAGTTAGTTTTAAAAACATATTGTATGTGAAAAATACATTAAAATAAACAAAATTATATATATATGAAACAATGTTTGACATTTTAAGACATAATATAGTTCAAGGTAAATAATTAAGGAATAAAAACAATATTTTTCCTTACGATGCTAAAATGCCAATTCCTAGATAAATTATTGGGGATGAAAGTTGAGCTTCTAAAAGCAAATCATCTGGACGGAATGATGAATAAGTTCCATCTTCTTGTTTTACAGGTTGTGGTTTAAAAATTCGTAAAACACCACTGTAACTTCCTGTGATGAGTTTGTCTAAAAATGTAACATACAGCAATTAAAAATTACTTATTATTTTTTAATTTAATGCTAAAAATCCATAGCAAGTGATTAATAACATCTACAGAAAAATAATTTTTCAGATGAACTGCCTATAAGAGCAGAGAGAAGTAATTTTAAGTTGGTGATAGGTTTGGAGTGAAATTTTCAAGGTGAATTTCCTTAGCCCTTTGTTTTGTTTGTTGAATTTCCTTAGCCTCTTATTCATAGCCAGCATCTCAGTATGATATTACACATCAATTTCGAAGCCTTTTTCTTACTTTAACAGACACAAGGTCTGTTATTTGTATGAAGGCTCCAGAGACAAACGTCATATTTTACCTTGTATTATTGGGTCATTCTATAAATAATGCAATTTCTTTATGCTTTTGTTTTCAAGATTAAAATAAAAAAATTATTTTTTAATTTAAAATACATGCTCCCTTATCCTCACTGAGTTCCTTCAGTTATGAAGGGGATTTTGTTGTACAGTGGGAAGGGTTTGCAGGATGTCTTCATCAAGCTCTACAGATCATCCAGGTACAGACTCAGCTTTTAGACTATAGCTTCTGGCTTGATTTCTGAAACTACCATTAACATTGGCTTATGTTTATTGTCTAGGCCCATATATTGCAATAATATTTCATTTTATAAATACTTAACTCAACTTATGAAGTAAATTATATGGAATAGGCTCCTTTGTCACTTCCATTTAGTTTTGAAAAAATTTGTTTGTTTGAAAAATACTCATCCATAATTTGATACTTTTTCTTTTCGCCATGTTGGTGATAAAGTCCCCAGAAGTGATACTACCAAAGCCATGCTGAATATCCTTTATTCCTGGTAACCTTTTACCACCTCATTTTCAAATATAAGAATATTAACATTGAACTGAATCTGTCTTCATTTCATAGGTTTATAATTCTAAAAATTTGCAGATTTTTAATTAACATTACACGAAGTTATTCCTGTCTACAGAATAATTAAAACAACAACTATGTTTAATTTAGACTATTCGTTACTAAAGAAGGTTTGTTCTTTTTTTTTTTTTTAGCATCCTACAAAAAGAAATGATTAGGGCACAATATCATATTAGTAATCAAGAGACAAATGCAAAATATTTTAAAATTAACACAAAATAAAAACTTTAAAATATGTTAACATATATCTTAATATTTCAATATAAATATAATTCAGTTGGTAACTGACCAGATTTTTCTACGCTGTTGTCAATATTGCCCACAACAAGACATCCTTTGTCAAACACTTCATCAGATCCACATGTTGTACTCCACCAGTCACAAGCTTTAAATAACGACATTCTCAAAACGACTAATCATATGCCTTAAACATAAAAAGAAAAAAAGAAAAATTAAAGAATAAATATCAAGTTACTATGAAAAGCATTCAATGAACATTTCATCAATTTCTAAAATCTGAATAAATCATTATAACATTTCTTCAAATTTTGACACGTACGAATTTCTTTTACCACATAACCGGAATTATTCTGCAGGTTTACTCTATAACACTTTACTTACAGCATAATAACATTTTCTATTATTTTAGTTTCCTAGACTATTTAAAAAAAAAAAAAAAACGTGTTATAATTACTTAAAATACGCATAACAGAAAATTCTCACACCATCAAGCTCACATTACTAAACAAACATTGATACTATGGTTGCCATAGCAACAGAAAGCCTTCCTCAAATCATGAAGTGAATTAACGGAGCATACGAACTGATCATAACGCTTCTTAATCAATGCATTAAAATTAATTCTTAAATATATTAAAATCCGTCTGAAAAATTAAAGAAAAATTTAGGGTCAAAGTAACATTTAATATTTGCAACTCAAAGGAAAATTGAAAATATTGGCAGGAAAATCATGAGAAAGAGGAATGATTTTTGCATTTCTCGTAAGTTAGTAAATTCGTATGATTTGAAAAAATAAGAGGGCAGTATTTCCATTCCATTATTTAAAGTTACATTTTTGCGTTTATGATTTCATCATTCCAAATACCTTTACTCTAACCCGGCATTAGTGCTAAAATAAAAACCGTAAAAGTGTAATCGTTGAGCAACTTTTTGGCCTTTGTTATATTTACAATATTGTGAAAAGTTTGTCGGGAACAAACTGATAAGCTAGAACTGATAAGCTAGAAACAGACTGGTAACCTCTGACACGTTCATTTTCGCTTTTGCCGTGCAAAGACACGTGAAATAACCTCTGGACAAGCGAACGCATTTGCAATTTTACCCATTTTACTAAACTTTATTATTTAATAATAATGAACAGTACATCAAATTTTAGGGTTTTATCAGTTCAAAGCCATGTAGTTTCAGGATATGTGGGGAACAAAAGTGCCTGCTTTCCATTGCAAGTTCGTTTATTATCTTATTTTGTATATGTGTATATTTTCTGTAATACAAAAATGTACAGAAAATTTTTTTTATTTTCAGTTATTAGGATTTGAAGTGGATAACATAAATTCTGTTCAGCTATCCAATCACACAGGTAAACTTTTAAACGGAATGTTTTGTGCAGTGAAATGTTTAAACAAATTCTGATGGATCGATTTTAATGTTTTCGTATTGCTTACAAAAAATAAAAAGTAGTGTTTTTCTTTTAATTTAGATTTAATTAATTACTAATTTACATTGCACTGTTTTACTAACACAAAATGTATTTCTTTTTATAAAAGTTAAATATAAAATTAGAATTTAAAGGTTTAATCCTAGTATCCGGTGCACACGGGATTTGCTACTTTTGGCGACTTTATATGACAGTAAACGGGCATATATGAGAGTGTTAACGGTCATTCAAAGAAAATATCTAGTTAACCTTAGTTATACTATGTCGATAGTATAATACTATGTGTGTATATCATATACTGTGTGTGTATAGTATATATATAGACGTTCTTTGGATCATTTTTGGTTTTTGGCGATAATTTTCAAAGTCGCGCCAAGGCTGCACCGTATACTAGGATTTTAACAATTTAAATAACAGATGTTAAATTGTCTATGTAACTTGCAGTGCTAAAGGTACACAGAAAATTTATCAGACTGCTGTTGGCTTCAGTGTTAGTTGAAAGCCTAAAAAAACAAAATGCTGTAAAGTTTACGTCTCTTTTTTATGAATAGGTTGGTTGCATAAACGTTTTATAGTTTATATTATGTCTAGTGCCAATAGAAGTCTCTCTTCCTCAGTATGTTTTGTATGAGAGCATCTCAGTTCTTAATATATTGATTACATCTTGAAATAAATGTAGTCATTAAATTGCAGTGTTCTTACAAACCTGCAGACTTATTTTCAGTTGCTTTGTTATAAACATGACTGCAACTACTGTTTCACAACATAGCCTCAGGATCACTTTTTACAGTGTTATTTTACTGTATTTTCTTTTGATAAATGTCTGGGTATGTTGTCATATATGAAGAATGCTCTACATTTAGTATTGGAGTATGAGATATAACTAGATGTTATGATAAATCCCTTTTGATAAAATTGTATACAATATATTTCTAAAATTTGATGTAATAAATGCAATCAGTATGTGTAAATATGGTTGGAAATTCTTTAAAGGCAATCGAATTTCATTTATAATAGTTTTGTGGTTTATTTATTATTCATCTAAGAAATTAATGTGAATTATATAAAGAACTTAAATATGACCTAGTAAAACAATTATAAGCTGCAATAGCTGCGAGCCAGAACCACTGCTGAGAGATGTGCATAAGAAAGTAGATGGTTTAGAATAGTTTGTTGAAGAAAACATATTTATGAAGAGGAAAAATAATGTGGGATACGTATTTCCGCAGCAATCGAATTTTTGACAGTTTTTATTAATAGGTGAAGGCAAGTTTCCTCACTGTTATTCCTGATAGAAGTTTTATTTTAATGTAGAAAATCTAGAAGAATGTTAAGGAGAATGATGCAGTTTTTTAGATCATTTGACAGTTTACAAAATTAAACTAGAAGAAGCTGGTTTTATCCATGAAAAGTCAACATGAAGAAAATCTTCACAAACTGTAAAGAATGTATATTGAATCAACATGTGGAACATGTTTGGTACTCAACAAATTGAAAATAGAAGACAAAAAGATACTTTGTAAGCAGGGTAAAAGTATAGTTTAGGGTACCCCTTGGCAATTTTTGGCGGTACACGGATACCGATTTTGTGCAATTCTTTGACTCATTATTTTGGCTTGCGAAAATGCAATTTTTGCGCCCACCGCTATACAAAAACAAAATTACAAGACAAACAATTGCACAAACTCGGTTCCCGTACACATGGACTTTTTGCCGTTAAAACGAACAAGATCAAAGCAGAAACAGGAGCCAGGCACAAACCTGACCTCCCTGCCAAACACGGATATCAATATCCACATGTACCTATATCACTTAAAAAAAAAAAAAAATTTAACAAACATGAATTGCGCAAACTCCATTGCTCTCTCCTTCACTTCCATGTGACAAATTATTTGTCATTAAAAAGTCCAAGAGCACCCATTTCAATAAGGCAACAAAAATACATAATCTCGATAAAACATTTTAACCAAACAAGCAATACTAAAAAGGAAAAGATGTTAACTTTAAGCCTACCAAAGCAAATATTCTTACCATGATTTTCTAGTTCGTTTCGTAATCAGCCACGTAACATAAATATCAATCATACTCCATGACCTTTTACAACCAGTCTCTTTCTGATCGAAACGCTTCAATAGTGAACATCTGAACCTTTATTCCTACAAACCCATTCAAATCCGCTAAACTTTTTTACGTTCACAGACCATATCCTTCCTCATACAGACACTTATAATGGCTACTAAGTAACCTTCATTTAGAACCAGTCATTAACGCTCTTTTGCCCTTCGCTTCAATGTACAAAACTTCAATTTATCTTACTACATTCGGGGCTACGCATTCAACCGTCTAAAGAATCAAACCAACACACACCACAAAATACTTAAAACTCCCATATTCAAATTTCCCAATCATGCACCCCATTATTCACAATAGGTTTCCATAGCATTCAACTCTCAGGCACCATAAATGAACCAACTGGCGAACTCCACAACAACTTCAATACAAGGGGTACCTTAAAGTCTACTCTACCCGTAAGCAGTAATTAGAATTTTACCTAGCAGAATTAATTTAGTTTAAAGTTACAAAGAAAAAATGTACTTTCTTATTATTGTAGCTTTGTTAAGAAACAAGTTGTTGATCTGCACATGTGCACCATTGGGCACTGTGAAATGGTAATAACAAAACAACTTTAGGTATGGTTTACAATCACCTGGTTTTCCACCTATGGTTCATATTCAGGTATCATGACAGCCATGGTAATATATCTAATGCCTTATTAGCAGCAGTTGTTGAGTTGCAGGCATTAGAATGTATGGCACAAAGTCCGAGATCCGGACTCGTTTGGACTTCGGTGATTCTGGACTTAAGATTTTTCTGGATATTAGATCATCAGTTTAAAACTTGTAAGATGGCATGTAGAAATTATAAAATTAGAAATATGTCTGATTTATTCCATCATCACTTCGTCATCTTTTAGCATAACGATTAATTTTTCTGTTATTCATTGGTATTAAGGTGTCAGAATCCACACAAAAAATTCAAAAAGTTCCTTTTTCTGTTTCCTTATGTCATATACAATTGACTTACTCCTCGCATAATTTTTTACCTTTATGCATTTTTTGCAGCAATTCCACTTTTTGTTTAATTGGGCATCGAAATATGCTTATCTACATTAATTCCAAGTTAAATCTTAATTTGGAATACAAGTTTAAATTCAAGAGTTATTTCAATTCGTACGAAAAGCTTACTCAAAAATTATGAAAAACCGCAGTGCTTTACTTCGAGAGTGTATTCTGATTAGAATTGAGGAATTTAACCCTTGATTTTGCCTTTTCTATATTTTCGGGTGAGCAGTGCGATGATTGCATTCTAATTGACTTAATTACCGCGAATGGCGTTGGAGCATAAAATTGGGTTGATCTTTGGATTATGGTAACTTGGCGAA